ATTTTGAATGTTATTGAAAATTTTTTATAGCATAAACCTATATCAATATTGTAGAACGTCACATGATAGATATCTACACGGAACAAAGCTTAGATTATTTTCTTTCTCTATAAGGAAGCGCATTATCTCGAAAAACGACAACATTTCATTTATATACTTGTTTGTGTTGTGAATAATAATTATCCGATATTTTATTGTATGTCATCTTTTTTGATAAATAGTTTAAGTTCTCTCAAAACTTGTTTCTCTTCAAATTGTATCTCATACTTTCAAATCTCTACTCTCTTCTTAAGGCATTACTTATATCGTGAATGATCGAAGTCTTTAACAAATAGAATTCTTTTCACTTCATTTCTTGCTGTAATATACATCAATAAAGCATTATTTTGTTTACAGTTCGATATCGAGTGTTAGTATTGCACACTCATTATACACTTCTTTCTTGACATTTTTTGTTATTGTCTTTCTCAACGATATATCACTCAATTATGTACTTATCGGTCACTTTTGTGTTTATTTTTAATATTTAATGTTGTAACAAAACCAATACACTTTATGATAGAAAAACAAAGATAAAGATAAAAAGAAAAAAGAAAACTGAGATGTACGCAAAAGTTCGTTATTTCAAAGTTATTAAAATCCTTTTCATATTCATATGAAGATTTTAAATATCTTTTTTCAGTGTTTCTGCTTGATTTGATGTATGCAGTTGATGTGATTCAGATCCACTACCACCTACACCTATATCACCAGATGAACTACCCGTTCCCGTACCGCCTTATGCGCTTTGAAATGATTGCATACTCTATATATAATATATTATCGAGAAAATAAACTGAATGAAGAAAGAAAATCAAAGAATAGGGATATAACGAGTGCATTCTTCTTTACGGTATCATAGAGTACAAAAAAAGCAACCACATGGCTTGAATAAATGCGAAGACTCGTATTGCAGTGATCCAAATAGAGAAAATATATTCGGTTGGCATGTATTCTATACGTATATATCTGCGTGATAGTAAATTACGAAACAAGATTAAGCTTTTAAATGGCAAGATCTACATGCTTTTTAAACAGTTTTATAATTATAACAAATTTCATGAATATATTCTGGTTTTAACTTCTAGAAAAACGAAATTACATTGAATAATTTCATAATTGATTGTAGTCGATAATAAAATTTAATCAATAAAATATTCAGAAATATCACAATCTACACTAAGTCCTCAAGTTGAAGAATATCTGTGTTCTGTTTTTTTTTTGTTGAAGAGAAAAATTATACTAGAAACCAATAAAATAGATGAGAAATGTTAACCGTTTATAGAAATAGAAATAAAATATGAATTCCTATTTCATGTTATATTTATAGTTATTTCAAAGTAAAATGTCGCAAAATTGCTTGTAAGAAAAAAGAAGATATGAACGTATCGCTTTCAAAGTAGAATGTGTAAACAATTTCGTCTTGCACTTTTTCTTAACATCTCGATTTCAATAGGTAATTATCTTGTTGACATTCATTTCATCTGAGCTAGATGCTAATTTACCTTCAAGATATTGGAACAGCAAGAAAGATACTATAAACTAATGGATCCAGCATTGTTGATCATATGTATTCATAATTTACTTGTGCGTAATGAAATCACCTCAGTTCAATTACGATTGTTTTTTTTTGTCAGTCTATCATTATTTTTATATTTAGTATTTTTCATAACTGTTTGTACTGAAGAGGTAAGATCATTATCTCTCTTAATCTCTCCCTCCTCTAAAAATACATGAAATATTATTTCTTTATTTAAAATAAATACTTACCATTGAACTCATTGCTGAATTCAAAACGCAAAAACAATGTACTTGCAATAGATGTAACTCAACTCATAATTAGGGGGGAGGGGGATTGGCACAATGGTAATACGTTGGATTTTCGAGAATAAGCATCGTGTTCGAGCCTTCCCTCCCACAGCACCATGTTGATATAACTCTGTTTTGTTCTATACGTCGCAAGCTACTCGTTCGTCGATGATTTATGCATTTCACTCGCATACCAAAATGGTTCGACTCAGCAAGCCATCGCTCATAACTCACGTTATCTATGCCCACAGTTTTATATGCTTCATGTTTTGTGCTTTGCTTTGCTTTGCTTTAATTGCTTTTCATTCTTTATAAGCAACTTGTTTTCAAAATCATTTGTCCCTTTAGGCCCTATCATGGGTAGACGGTTAAATAAATATCGCATGAAAGTAATTCAACTCATAACTAACTTACGACCTTATGCAATCGTATACTATAGTTGTGCATGACAGTCCATTACGTTCATCGTATATATTATTTGTATTTCAATATAAGACGTCATATACGATTAGCATTTTTGAACCTATATCATAGTATATGGCCACTTACAATCACGTCTTTACAACGTCGTTATATTTCACAAAAAGGCGTAGAGTGTCTTTATGTACATATATGCAAATGTAATAGAAATTTTCCTTAATGGTATTGGCTATTTCTTTTTACACTGATTGAATTTAATAGATTTAACTTCTAAACAAGAGTATCGTACGACATATTTTTATTACTTTTGATGAATGTTTGGCAATATTCTCACAATTATAAAAACAATAAAATATGAATAATTTTTTTTCTAGAAGCTTTTATGTAGAGTTTGAGTTTTGTATGATAAAAATTTGCTTTCCTCTCACCAAATGATATTACTCAATAACATGCGTCATATATGAAATTTTGTAATTTATAATGTTGATTGAGAAAGTTGCATCATATATATGCATTCAGTAAGAAATAAGAATAAAGAAATATATATTTACATATTATAATATTTATGAAAAATGTCGAGCATGTTTCCTGTATCGACACCTTCTACTAGCGAATGGTTATGTTCAAATAATATTCTCTCCTGGAAGTTTCCACCATCTGTTGGTTCGTACACATTAATTGGTCGTTCAAGAGCAGCTGATGCTACTAGTTTATTCATTCCTGAATTGGACATGTTACTTGATTGCGGCTGTTTAGTAACAATTACTCGACCTCTTTATATATTTATTACACATTCACATTCAGATCATTTTCTTGATATTACTCGATTATTGAGTAGAGCTCGACCACCACACGTTTATCTTCCTATATCAGCAGTTCAACCAATGAAAGATTATATTGAGAAATGTCAAATTCTTCGAGCAGCTGGTAGAATTGATCCAGATCCCACACAATGGACACCTAATTATGAATTAATAGGTGTTCAACATGATGATTTATTGTCATTTCGAAAAACAATGAAAATTCGTGTATTTGATATGGATCATTCAGTGCCTTGTTGTGGTTATGGATTTTATGAATGTCGAAAAAAATTAAAAAAAGAATATGAACATTTAACGAGTAAAGATATTGCAAATATAAAACGAGTTAATAAAGATTTAGAAGTTTGTGAAGAAAGATTATGTCCATTATTTGCTTTTATGGGTGATACAACAGCAATAATATTTGATAAATATCAAAATGAACTTTTTCAATTTCCATTGATTATTATTGAATGTTCGTTTATTGATAATGAAAAACATTCAGAACGAGCTTCTGATGTTAAACATGTTATTTGGGTAAGAAGAAAAAAAAAAATATTAATTTAAAATAATAATCTCTTTCAATAATTGTAGGATGATCTTCAACCTTTTGTTTTACAACATCCAGAAATTATCTTCGTTCTAATTCATTTTTCACAACAATACAAAAGTGAAGAAATAAGACAGTTTTTTCGAAAGTTAAATTTACCTAATGTTGTGCCATTTATTTAAGAAAAAAAAAAGATTTATGTTTAAAGAATAGTCTTCATATTGAAAATCGTAACAATGTCGAAATACAAATGAAATATTTTAAGAAAAATCAAAGAACTTAGAGTATAGATTAAATTAATATTTATAAAATTGAATTAGAAAAAAAACGAAAATTTTCGCCTGAAAATAGAAGACTTAGAAGTGTCATGATTAAAAACTTCATCTGAATTCGGTTTCACAAACAAGTTTTCTTTCTTTCATTGTTTTGCTTATAAATCAAGCAAAGATATATTAGAATAAATAAAAAAAAAGTAAAAATTATAATTTTCATGATGATGTAATTACTTTTGACGAAGAAATTCGTCCATCAATCTAATATTTTACTTTTTAATCTGATAATTATGATAACACTGGATTTAGTATCCTTATGATTTAACTGAAAAATATTTTCAAATGACTCTATTGATTATATTCATTCACTTACTTTTGTACCAATTCATTCTTTTACAAATACACGATAAGATTAAATGCATACCAAACAAGCAGAATGAAAAAAATGATAATAAATTTCACAAGTTTTATATGCTTTTGTTAAATACTCTAGAATATTTTAATTCAAAATTTTTTAAAATTTTAATCTTTATTTCCAATTGTATTAGATTGACTTCATTAAAGAGCATCCAATCCAAGATGAACGATGGGTTACAAATGTCCTTTTTTTTAGCTTCTAACTTCCTCGATTCGCACTTTCTCAAATGTTAACATTGTTTTTAAAGAAAGAACTTTATTGCGGAGTTGATGAGTATTTAAAAAAACAGAAAACTTAAACTGTTGTACTTTCGAAAGTGCTGTTCAAAAAAAATTAGGGATTTGTCTTCACTTTTCCGAATATATTATTACAGATATAGTATTTATGGAGTGTGAACAGCTGATGTAAGACCAGTTACTTTTGATTTACTTGATTCAGATTCCAAGCAAAAATAAGTTTCTAAACTTTCTGAAAAATATGTGATGTGATGGACGTAGCAAGAATTTATTTTGAATATTTTGAACCTATGCAATAGAGAAAAATATAAAGTTCTAGACAAATAAATGAGAACTTTTTAGTGATGAACTCCAATGTCAAATTGGAATGTTTTCATTCTCTTTCATTTTTTTTTTGGACAAAATGGTATAGCAATTATGAAATTCACCCTGCACATCTCTCTGCAAAAGACGAAATCACCATTTGAAAAGTTTAGAGAAAAGTGAAAACTTGTTATTCGATTGATCTGGTGTCTTTCGTACTCGCATTGGAAACCTAATTTGAATATGTTCGATGCCAGATTTGCTCATTGAGAGACCACGCTCATTCTCGACTCGTTTCATAAAATGGTTCAATGTTTCACCATCCGATCCTACTTGGAGTGGTTCAGAGTTTGGTTGATTGGTCATTGTAACGGATGCTCCACCCGGCAGTAGTTTGTGATCGCTGTGATTTTTTGTGTATTGCACATTGTCATTCGTATCCTGAAGCCTGACATGATCACGATTCAATATAGTTTTCGATGGTTCATGTTCGGTTCCATAGTGATTTATAAAACCATTTAAATCTTCATCACCATATTGAACTCGAAGTGGTACGGAAGTCGATAGATTATTGATACAAATGTCATCTTTGTCAGACATAAGAGCAAAATCGTCATTGGGTTTCAATAATGTTTCTATCTGAGTCTTAGTACATACTTCTTGCCAGATAGTGAGTCGTGCTCGATGTGATATACGAGGATAGACAACACGATGAATACCGGACTTGAATCGATTTCCTGTCATAATACTTGCTGCTTCACCTAACCAGATCACACCAATACAACATTGTTCATCTTCACAATCATTTGGACCATCGATCCATTGATCTTGCTTAAGATCGTTCAATTGAAGACCATCACATGTGGATAGAATACTTAATGAAAAAAAGCCAGGATCAAAATGTGGAACACAATTGACTTCATCAGTATTAAAACCGATTTTGGGTTGTTGCATAGGGCCTACTCGTTCATTAAAATAATTGACGATATCAAGCATGCCTAACGATGACAATGACACTTTGTTCTTATGAGGACTTTGCGTGAGGACAGGCATATTGAAAATGACGGATTTGAGAACATTGGTCAAATTGTTTAATAATGTCGCCAAATCTTGTAGTATTTGTTCTACGTCACTTGTTACTAGATGATGGTACCTTCCGAGACCTTGTTCATCTGTTAATACTTTAATGCCTTCTTTATGATGTACACGTGAATAACCAAAGGCATGCAATGATTCATATTGTAATTTCTCTTCTGGTTGTCGAGCAAAAAAAGCTGACAGAGTTGTTTTAATGTGATTGAGTTTATTGATTAGCTGACCGTTTTTATTCGGCAATCGAATGAAACACCAGCCAGTAGATTCGAATTCATTTTGCAATCGTTGAATTTCGATTGAATCGCCAATAAAGAGTTTATCAAAGTCAACAAGGACATGACCGTTGAAACTCTGCTCGGTTGTCATGAATGCGATAGAGAAAAGTGTCGATGTGGCGTGCATCAGAGAAATGTGTTGTTTCTTATAACATCTGAGTCATGCGTCTATAATGAGTTATTACTCAATCCACTAAAAAGATGAGTTATACATTCAACTTGACTACTGAGTATTGGTATTGTGTCTACATGTGGTATTTTAATTCTTTTTATTTTATCATCAAATTAGATTTATGCGTTTGCTTTGATAATAAGAGTTAATCTTTTTTGACTGGAAAAACACGACAGATACATATCTATGCATATATCTTTGGAGATTACTGCAAGAATTTCAATTAGGTGACAAAGTTCAGACTGTACTTGTTACATCGACTAAGTATGTACTTATATTTTCTTGTAGAACAAAAATCACCTGCTGTAAAGACATCGGTATAAGATAATCAGCTTTAATGAAAAATGCATGGCTAGTAGATATTCTGAAATCTGAAATATCATCCTTTCCTTCCCACCTGTCTATTTTCAATCTTTTAAATAAAGTACGATCTCACTTGTACGAACGCTGCTTTTGCTTACGGAAGCAAATTTGTCATAGACGATGGTCACTCATACAAAAGTATAAAAATATGGTTAGACATTCTATTGTGAAATGTAAATACATTACTATACTGTATATTTCTGCATAAACGTCCATAAAATTAGTTACAGTCATAACAGAATACGAATAGATTATTGCAGTATATAGTAGAAAATCAGGTTATGATGCACAAGTGTAACAAAGGTTCTGCCATTATGATTATTCAATACATAGAAATGAAACAAGATGATCTAGATGAAGTAATTCTTCGAATAGTAAATTATTGTTTACGCAAAGAGAAATCAATGAAAAAAGAAAAATTCTAAACCCTCTTTTTTGTAAGACTATTCATCATCATGTTCTTTTTCTATTGAAAATGTCATCACATTAAATCACATTTTTTCATATGTTAAACAAAATATTCTATACCATTTCATTTTTTTTGTCTCCTCTTCATGAATTTATTACCTAATTTAGATAACAATTATAACATACATATATATATATAAACATAGATTTCTCCAGATAAATATGTAGTTTTATGAACATATGTGCATATAAACATTAAAAAAAAAAATTATCAATCATTTTTGAAAAATATAAGAAATGTATGTACGATATAGACTTCTAAAAAAATTTTAGAAAAATATATTAAAACGCTTTTGAAAAAAATTAACAGAAAAAAAAATTTAATATTTTTCAAATTATTTTGAAAAAACGATATTTTCACAAACAATTCTTTTTTTTCTTTGTATATAAATATTCTAAAACATCTTTATCAATATATTTTAAAAACATATACATACAATTTTAAAAAATGTGCTTGAAAACTCTATCAAAACACTTTTTGAAATATTTTAAAAGAATATATTAAAAAGCCTTTGACAGATTCAAACAAAAAAACCTAAAAATCTTTTTCAATTTATTCTAAAAAAAACTATGTCTGTAAGCAATTCTTTTTGATTTATCAAAATATTCTAAAAATTCTTTATAAATATATTTAAAAAATGCACATATAATTTTAGAATATATGCTTGAATATTCTATCAATAAAATTTTTAAAAAATTTAAAAAATACATATAAAAAAATTTCGAAAATAATTAACAAAAAGCATTTTAAATTTTTTTACAAGTTATTTTTAAAAAATTATACTTCTAAAAAGAATTCTTTATTCATATATTAAAATATTCTTAAACAATATTCTGTATTTCCAAACAATTCATTTTTTTTTAAATGCATATTATTTTTATTTTTTTTTCATCAGAACCAAAAAGCTAATAATCACTTTTTGAATCTTAATTTTATTTCGCAACCATTTTTCTATAAAATTTCGTTGGATTTAAGTAGTATTTTTGAGTTTAACTAATGAGTGTGAAAATGGTCGAATGGATAACATCTCGGACTATCACCAAATACATTGTGGAATTGAGTCTAAGTCAACGCACCCAGTTCTGAAAGTTTTAATTATATCTTCGCATATAAATTACAAAAAACCAGTTTAAAACGCCTTATAAACTTGAACGCAAAACAAATTATAAAAAGCGCACATTTTTTGATTTTTTTTTCTTCAAAGTTTCGTAATGCCTTTTAACGCGTTAAAGTTTTAAACGCAAAAATACTCATTAAGAAACTTTAACGAAAAAAAAAATCCAAAAAATCTGCGCTTTTTACGATTTTTTTTTCGTTAAAATTTCAAACCGTTTTGAGGCGTTCTTTTTTAGTATTTGTCTGACTGGGTTGTTCAAATTGGAATGAGAGATGTTGTCTTATTTGTCTTAATTCTCCTTCTTCTATAAAAGAGCCAAGTTGTATGTATTCTTTGTGCTGTTGCTTTTTTTTTCTAACTTTTATATATGCAATATAACAGAACAGGTAAAATTGAAGCACTGAGAATACAGCATCGTTTTTTTATTACTTCTCGAAGGCTGCTGATCATAAGATACAATTTCTGTAAATTGCTCGTAACTATCGTTGGCAAGACTCATTTTCAAAGTAAATTAGTAAGTCAGTTTTTGGTTGAATATTGCGTGTTTTCATCACTTTTAATCTTCAAGACTCTACTGCACAAAAAATGAACATCACATAATTAAGATTTCCTCGTTCATTTTAATGTTCTTCTCAGTAAGAGCTTAGTACATCATATTAGAAAATTCATCATCTACGGTGATGGTAATATCGTACGATATTTTTCTTCGTTGGTCTACCTCACTGCTACGATTTTTTCTAAATATGGATCTCTTATTTCTAAATAGGATGACTCAGTAAACTTCATTTTCCCGGTCACATGTACGCAATTTGTCTCGCTTTTAGAATCATATTATGATCATGGACATACTTCAATCCTTTTGTTCTTTGACATTTGTTGGTTTTTCAATGATCTCTTCAAGCGAAGTTTGTTTAAATCACAGTAATGTTATTGTCGAAGAAAAAATTATTATCTAACATCAATAGTGACTTAAGTTTTTCTTTTCTGTCAGATTCGAGGTAAAATTTTTAGTCAAGGTCACTCGCTGGTATCAAATTTCTTTTTATGACGCGATATCTACCTTGCATATTCACCAGCACACTGAGAAGAAGATATTAATAATTAAAAATATGCTTCATTTGAGCACAGGATGCGGGTGTGAATGAAAGTGTGCGAGTGTGGGGCATGGTTGTAGGTGTTGGTGTTGACGTGGGTGAAAGCTAGACTCACACCCACACCATACGTGTGATCAATGCGTCACATTAGATATGAGAATGTATGAATTAAACGAAGACCATTTTCAATCGAGTCTCACCTTATCTGCGCTTAACCTAGTGCAAGCATCTGTGTTCTAAATCATGTGAGGAACATTTATGACTGGGCATTTCGCAAAGAGTTTCAGCAATAGATATTCTCACGTATCAGATCAACAATTTAAGTGAATCTGGAAACTTTTAATTGGTTAGTTGCTATGAGTTGCCTAATTCGAGTTCAAAATATAAATGGCGAGCTAAGTGATGATTATAACTTCGCAAATAAATGAAAAAAACAATGCTTCCCTGTTTCAGCAGCAAAAAAAGCCAAAGAAAAAGTTCATATAACTTATAATTTATAAATGGAGACACACTCATGTTCAAATAGTAAAAAGGTAAAAGAAAAAATTTTTACAAATAATATTTGATACATTCAAAATCACCACACTGTTGAAGTAAGAAAAAGGGAACAATACAGATTATTCTGAGGTATGATGATAAATCTAATGAAACCATTCTAATGTGAATGCAACAAGCATCACCTAGAATGCTAGAAACCTCACTTGCGATGGTATATAAGCGTCACCTAAGATTACAAAAATAACATATGAACTATATAGGTATTACTTGTGATGCTAGAAGCATCATCTGGAATGCTGCAAGCATCACCTGGGATGGTTTTTTGCCACTTGCGACACTGCAAATAGCTAGTTCATATAGCCCTTTGGAACATACACTGAGTACATGTGTCAAGATAGAAAGAAATGCTGACCTAATAGTAACACAATGCCATATGGCCACTCTGATTGGAATATTGCTACTGCTGACTTTCGTGCGACGCAACTAGTATTGAGCTGTCCAAAACGGGTTTTCGTGCGTAACAGACCTTTTATTTCAGCATCGTGACGTGAACACGCCAAGCGCCCTGCTCCCCCGAAGTGTTGCTGGTTTGTGCGTCTCCGTGTATACATTAATCAACATGTATCATGCTTATGCCATGCCAGCAGCATCTTTCATGTAGTTAATTGGCATTGAAAACGTTTGGCTTACATATCCTACCTTGTTGATGCCACTGACGCATCTCCGACTGTTCGTATCGCACCCTAGATGATGTCGGTAGCATTCCAAGTAATACTTGTAGGATTCCAGCTTCGACGTCTGACACACATGATAAGATTTGTAGCATCCAAGATAGTCTCAGTAATTTCTCAGGAAATATCTTGCGATGCAGCTACATCTGTAGCATTGAAGAAAATACCTATAGCATTCCAGATGATACCAGTAGCATAAGAGGTTTTATGTGTAGCATACCAGGTCAAATCTCTGCATCCTTGGTGATTTCGCTCTCTCTCATACTTCGTAGTATTCATAGGCTTAGACTGATTTACTGGAACGAATAGTAATCCGTCACATCAGCAGAGATTCACTGGCACATCAAAGATGAACAAAAGTATGAATTTTCGACCAAAACCATTGTTTGCCAGCGCATTTATTATTCTTATCATTTTGGGTGTAAGCTACAAAGCTTTCGAGAGACAAATACTGTATGCTAGCCAATTGTGGTCTCGAACAAACGTGATGAATACCACGACACTAAAGTCATCTCGACAGACTGAATCTGGAACATTTTTAAACTCGGATATCTATTTCAGTCGATATCAGTCTTGGAGCAAGGTCGCCTCATATCGCTCGTCATCCGTATTTAACTATTCAGAAAGTCTTTTTCGCTCATCATCCTCTCCACCTATTTTGTGGCTTGATATTCATGGTGATGTACGATGGAATGAAGCAGCGGAACATGAAATGTATATTTATCTTTCAAATAAACAAACGATCGAAGAAAACAAATCCGAAGATCAGATAATTAATGATTGTCTTGATCGTCGATTTTTCGTTATTAAGCAACATCAGTGGGGATTTTTCAGTCGTTATCACTGCTTCATTGAACAGTTTGGTCAAACACTATACAGTCCCTGGATGACATTGCTGTCGTACAATCGTTTTCGTGTTTCAAAAGCATATCGAGATGATTTTCTTGGTGAAGGCATTGTACGTTACTTTGAACCTATATCTACATGCTCGAAATATTTAAAAGACTCACGAATGAAACCAATTGAATTGATACTTCAAAATAAAATTAGTATTTCATCGTATGTTACCGGTATTCAAAAACTTCTCTATAGCAATCAATTGAATAGTAGTAAATATTCTGTATTAGACAATAGCAAAGTATGGGCATTGGGTTATGAGCACGTGCCAGTTCGTAGATGGATGTTTAGTCGCAATCCAGTTAGTGCAACGTACAATCTGTCCATCGTAGAGTTGATCAATCACACAGATGAACATGTCTATCGAGCTCCATCGCTGACTGATAGTTTTCTCGTCCGATGGTCGCCAAGAAATCGAGCACGTGGTCAACCGAATCAACACTTACCTGGTAACCAGTACAAACTAACATGGCAAGATCGTGTTTTTACAGGATTTCTTCGCTATATGTTCGTATTGTATTTTCATCGTTTTTCACCACGCATTTATCAAATGACACGTCTACTCGCTGAACATTGGTCAAATTACTTAAGGGATAAAGACCAACGCGCTTTAAATGACACGGCAGCAATATTTATTCGTCGTGGCGATAAAATGCGCGAAGACTCATTTTGGCAGAAACATAAAAGGTGGCGTAACATATCAATGTACGTCAAAGGATTAGTTGATGAAGAACAACGACAAAATCGGACATTTTCATCGATATTCATTATGACAGATGATACATCTGTGATGAATTCTATTCAAGATTATGCTGATCCAAAATCGAAAGGAATAGATGAACCTTACGCAAGACAGCACTTGCGTAATCGGCAGATAATGTATAATGTATTTGCACCACAAGCATGTTTTGATCCATTCATTCGCATCGGATTTGAGCAGTTTTTAGTGTCTATAGAGTTCATCGTCCAGCATGCTCAATTCAGTGTTGGCCATTCCGATTCAAATGTCGGCCGCTACCTCGAAGAGATTACATACGGACGAAATCAATTGAAAGCTTCAGTTCAATCAAATTCATTTACGAAAAATGCTCCGGATTCTTTATAATTTCCGTAGAGTAACACAAAGGAACTACTTTTGAGAATTCTGCAAAGACTTCAGATGTCACTCTATGGTACGACTGTTTTTCTGAAAAACGTTCAACATGGGTCATAGAAAGAACTTTTTCTGTAGGGATTCATAATGATTTACCGCAGAACGGAACATCTAGTTGTAGCAGTGTAAAAATAGAAAACATTCAATAAAATATTAACACCGGGCACTATGTATTCGAATTGCACATGGAAAGTCTTTTTACTCGTCAAAACAGCGTAGTTGATTTAAAAAATCAGTGATTAGTCTAGTAGAAATACTGTTTACTTAACTATTATACTTTGTACTTGTACTTAGGTACATTTTAATCAAGCCCGCTTGTACTGAGCACCGGTACTTAGTACAAGCGAACTCAAGTAAGAAGTATATGTAGTTGTACGGATACAAATTATACTAGTACTTACGATTTGCACGTACTTAGTATGAAAAGTAACAAGTATTTTACTAAATATCCAATCATTGTTATGTAAACCATAACATTTTTCCATTACTCTCAAAATAAAATCAATCCTTTATGAAATATATTCTCACGTAGGAAAAAAGTGCATTCTTCTTGATACATGTATGACAAGATACTTTCAGGAGATAGAAATGGAAAAAGTTAAATCAAGAAACTCGATAAAAACTGAAAGAACAGAAATAAAGATGAGAATAAGAATGATTATAAATCATCAATGAAAAGTTTATTTTTGTTATCTTTTACATCTGTTTTATCATTTAATTAAATATCATTAGCTTAAGCTAATTTATTTATTCTGTTGATGTTACATTTTATTTTTCCTTCAAACAAATGGACTATTGTATATTTCAGGTTTTTTTGCTGGATCAAGGCCATGTAAACGCATGGTAACAGCAATTTCAAAAAGATAATCATAACATTCGCATATTGTTTTTGCTTTTTGCCATGTATCACCCCAAACATATACACCATGTCGTCGAACAAGAACAGCACATGTATCCGGATATTTTTCTATTGCATTACGTAATGAACTAGTTAAATCTCTTTCTTCACATGTATTTTCAATAATTGGTACAACCAATGTATCATCATATCGATAATATTCTTTTTCTGTGGAACATTTTTTAATACCTTTTATCATTTCTTGATGTGTTATACGAAATTCATGTTGACCATCACATAATAATGTAACCATAACAGCTGCACGTGAATGTGTATGAATACAAGCACCAGCATTACGAAGTTCAAATGCAGCATAAAATAATGGTGTACATTGACTACGTGTAAGACGAAGATCTTTCGGTGGTTCTTTAACAGTATCACCAGAAAGTGTTTGAACAAATAAATGTTCAGGTTCAATACGTTCTTTTTGTACACCACTTGGAGCTAAATAGATTAAGTCTTTGTATTTTAATGATATACCTCCACCAGTGCCTTAAAAATTTACAAAACAAAAAAATTATTTTTCAATATAATGGATTTTTTATTCAACAACCTGTAACCCATCCAAGTTGATAGAATAATCGACATAATTCTGGTATTAATTTTCTTGGATGTTCAGCAGGCAATTTTGAATAATCTTCATCTTCTTCATATTTCGCCAATTCACCATTATTAGTCATTATCTAAAATAAAAATTTTTTTTATTCATATAATTCTCTCAAATTTTGCATAGTTGTTAAGTATTTATTTATCGTTTTATCATTGTACTTTGCAAAGAACGACTCATTATTCAAATCGTTGTCTGAATTTTGAGCATACTTTAATTTATCTCAACTATAAATAATTATTACTTAAATCTTTATTGAATCATTCATCAATTATTTATTTAGTTTCATTTGATTTTTGTTTTTTTTTGAGAACCATAAAGAAATATTAGATACTAATAATCATCTAAACATCATTATTCTTTTGATTTAGATGGTTGCAAAAAAATCAAATTACACTAATTTTTTGACATAAATCATGATAAAATTCATGCAAATAAAATACATTATTCAAAGAAATAGTTACACAATAAATAGTTTTAATATTATAGTATGACTATCTTCTATGTAGTTATGGAAATCATCGAGTAAAACTGTTTTCAGCAATCGTTTGCTTTCCTATTGATGAACTAATCGAAATCTATGATTAGATAATGAAATTAGACCAAAGCTACTTCAAGTTTTGTGTGTCATTTGCAACAATCGGCCTTTAGGTAGAAATTGATATGAAATTCTAATCAAGAACATAGGTCATTCATAACTATTTACATATTTAGAAAGTAATGAATAAAGTAAATATTAAGTAGGTATGTCGAATAATATATTAAAAAACAAACACGAACATGATTTCTAATGTTCATAATGATGATGATTTTTTGGGATTATAGAAACATAATATCTAATATAGTAACCACAAACTCTTGAATGATCCAATCGAATTTCAAAGAGACACTGCTTCTCAATCTTGTATGTGTAGGATTGAAATCGATAGTCACAAATTATCGATTTACCATTAAAATCTAAAAATAGTGATGATTCCAATTCCAAAACTACATATTTTCTTACATATTCAATGCAAATTTGTATAAATAATAAACATAATCATCACTAATAAAATAATTATTATTTCGTAAAAATTCCGTTAATATCTTGATAATCAATAAAGAATCACATGTAGAACAATCTCATATCGAAGAATTCTTTAAAATATTTTAGTCAATGTATAACAATAAAAATCTGCAAAATATACTTTGGTTTTTTTTTGTCTATAGATAAATATCAGCAAAGTTAATAAAGATATCAAAACGTTCTTGATGTTTGAACTCATTTATATACAACTGTACTTGTTAACTAAATGTATTAGATTGATATTAATACATTTGTTCAGATCTTGTAATCAAAATACATAACTGATTTGTATTTTGATAATTATCGAATTAATTCTAACTGAGGAAAAATATTAAATGATAATTAATACATTAAAATCAAAACAACGAAAAAATTCTATTTGAGATGAGATTAAGTTTTTTTTTACGACTATTTTCTATAGTTTCATAAAAATATTAATTCAAAATATAAATATAATATTCGAACTGCTCTTCAAAATAGTGAAAGAGAACATGAATCTCATTGGTCCGAGATAACCATTAAGAAAATATTCAAGCCTCCTTGAAGAATCTTTTTATATAATATTTGATGACAAATAACATGAATTAAATCTTTCTTATGAAGACTAATTTTAAAAATGAAAATTTTTATAAAATAAAATTTGATTTATTTTTGTACTCGAGAATAGATAAATTGAAACAAAGGTAACAGAAGATGAAATATAGTTAGTTCGTCGAATCGATTAGCTATTCTTCATTGACATTTTTATGTTCTCCTGTCAATATAAATCGTATAATCTTTAATTTTAGATATATATATATACATATTTTTTTTTGCTTTCGATTTTTTCAATGGGTCGACATCGTTCACGTTCAGATTCACGTTCTCGATCAATGTCTTCAAATTCATCGTAAGTTCAATCATATTTTTTTTTTCTCTTATTAAGAACAGTTTATTTGGTATGAAAATGTTTTATTTATTAATGAAGTGGCCGTGGTGCACATTCATCAAAATGGGATGGTGAATCAGGTTATCGTGTTCATATATCCGATTTAGCAGCTGGTGTTTCACGTAAAGAAGTTGAAAAAGTATTTACAAAATATGGAACTGTTAATGAAGTTTGTTTTCATTTTTTTTTTCATTATTTTCATAATAATTAAGATTATTTTTAGGTATGGGTAGCAACAAATCCACCTTGTTTTGCTTTTGTTAATTTTAAACATCGATCGGATGCTGATAAAGCTATACGAGAAGTTGATGGAAAGTAAGATAATAATATTTTATTTAATAATTTAATAATTATTATTTCATTAGAATAATTGGTTCTACACGTGTTGGTGTAAGTTGGGCACGTACTCGTACTTATGGTGGTCGAAATCGTGGAGGTCGTGGTTATTCATATAGTTCATATCGATATAGTGGTAGTCGTCGTCGATCAAGGTAGAGTTAATAATCATTTAAGATTTTTTTATATTTGCGGAACCCCGTGATAATGATATTTTATTTATTTATTTTCTTCATGTCGATGCTTAAAGACATAATCAAACATTGAATTTTATTTCGTTAGAATAATTAATAATGTCCACTTAATTTTGATTCTAGTAGCTTCGCGGGTTTTCGAATGGTTTTTGATGATGATTTGTTGGTCGTTTTTATTCTAACGACTTGTATGTAGTCGGGCCAGATAAGACGATTGGTCATTTGTTTTTTTCCTTTGGTTAAAAAATTACAGAATAAAATAGTGTTTATATTTGTTTGGATCTTCTCGGCTTTTGGGCAAATTATGCTCGGCCAAAATGAATATCGATGGAAAGTTGTGATTTATTGATTATTTTGTTAATTAATGTTCTGTATTTTATTCAATTAAATAGAAGTCGTTCAAGAAGTAGTTCACGTTATCGACGACGTCGAGCTAGTCGATCAAGATCACGATCAAGTTCACGAGGTAATTTTTCTTTGTGAATATTTGCTTGCTGTATATTCATATTTTTTTATTTTAGATCGTTCTCGTCATCGTAGTGTATCATCACGTGATCGTAAACGTGTACATCATTCAAGTGATCGACAAGAATCTAAATCACCTCGATCAGTTTCACATTCTCGATCACGATCACATTCATCACCAAGACAAAAATCACCTGGTGATGCTAATGGGTAAGAAAAAAGTTTAAAAGATTATTGTTCAAATGTAAACAAATGAAATAGTTTTGACATAATAATATGTAACATAGAATGTTAGGTTTCATAAGAGCACATTTCAAATGATATATTTTGATAGACTATATATATTTGAAGTATTGAATAGTTTGTAAAACAAATTGAATATTTCAACTTTTAAAAAAAACAAAGTTACTCTTTTTAAATAGTATCTTTCATGAAACCGAAGTCTATGACGTCCAACTCAAGTTTACAGTCATTCATTAAAATAGTATATTTTGTTTTTCAATAATGATTGAAAATTTTTTTTTTTGTAGACGAAGTCGATCTCGTAGTTCAAGTGTTGATGATCGTCATGATAAAAGAACAGCTGGTTCATCGTCAGTTGCTGAAGTTGATGAAAATAATGCTTATGAGTAAGTAAAAAGACAACAATAATAGTTTTGAATCGATAGCAGAGTACATATAAGTTTGTAGAGGAAGACTTCTACAAATTAATTCATAGATCTTGTTCTGTAGTCAAAAATCACTGTGAAATATGCAAATGTCTTTAGTTTAGTTCTCTATTTTGATTTTCTTTTTTTCGTCTTTAGTCGATCACCAATTGCTGCCGGTGGAGATTAAAAACGATCATTAATCAAAAGACATTTGTTATCTATTTGTCTTAAATAGTCATATAACCCAAATTGTTTGTCTTTATGTATCTTTGTCTTGAACTTCTATTGGTGTATTCTTTTTTTTTTTTGAACTAAAAATAAAAAGTATCGTATGATGTTAAAAAATATTCTAATTGATATATTTAGTCCTTGTAAATCTGTGAAAACAATTCAATATGTCAAATCGTAAAATCTGAAAAAAAGTTGATAAAACCTTTATAAAAGAGTTTTACGAAATGTTACTATTCTATAGAATTTTTTATGTAATCTTATCGAAATATTATACAAAAATCTTGACAACAAATTGAACTTTACAAGATTTCACGTTAAATCACATAGAATTCAAGATTTTTCGAATGTTTCTATTTGTTTATTTGGTTTGAAAAAATCAATATGTATGATGAACGTTCTAATTCTTATTCTAATATATCAATTAGATTTTAAAGTTTTATTTCAAGATGAAGATGAAGCATATCTATCAAACTTGAAAGTTAAATTCAATTAAACATTCACCATCCAAACACATGCATACTTCGTTCTTTAGTCGAAATGTAAATTTGTTAAATGATATGTTTTGATACTAAGTCATTTTTTTATTGATGAACTTCTGTTGTTTGAATACCTTCAGAAATTTCTATAGAAATCCTATGCATTCTATTGAAGATCAATTTTGAATGGGACAAGAGAAGGAGTGACTTTAATCAATAATAATCATTTTAGAAACGAAAGTAGACGCAAAAGCAGTCACGTGTGACTCTTTCATAAATCCATGTGACCTAATGTTGCATATTATTTTGACGTTTTGAGCAGTCGAAATAACTCATCAACATTTTTATGTAAAAAAAAAACAATAGATGTTTTGTTTTGGTTATAAATAATTATTGCTATTTGTTCGAAATTCTTTTGTTAAAATTTCGAATTATATTATAATTAGTATTGATTATATGTTTCAAAAATTTATTTAAAAGAATAATTAGTTACAATTTCTATAAATTTTGTGTTATACACGGTTAGTTACAAATAGATAATATTACAATACGAGAGTTGATGAGAATCGTTTTTGATTGAAGTTATTTGTTCTTTGTTCAGATAAATCTCTTTTTCTGTGACGAACAGGGTCTCGAGTTCTATCCAACGATAAATCTCTCGTTCGTCCTATTGCTTGTTTTGTTTCCAGTAATTTTTCCCAAATATTTTTATATTTTGTATTTATTTCTTGAGCATTACAGCCTCTTTCAGATACAGTACGTAATAAATTGTTTTGATTTTCAATGTTTTTCTTATCATTACTGAAATGTTTTGGTGATTCACTTTTTTGCATAGAAAGTGCATACGTAGAATGATATTGTTTTTTCAAATGAACTCGATCTTTATTATGATGTGATTGAGTTTTCGTTTGTTGAATATATGTAACTTGTTGCAATAATTTATAACTTTCACTATCTGGTTTCGTGAAATCAATAGCTTGATTACCTTTATAATCAGTTTTGTATAGATCAGCATGAGCATTTATAAGTACAGAGCATGTATTAATCATATTTAGTGCTGCAGCTAACATTAATGGTGTACGTCGAATACTATTTTCTGCATTGACATCACATCCATTAATGATTAACTTTTCTAATAAAACCGTTTGTTCATCATTAGCTTTATTATGACAAAAACAATGTAATAATGTATTTTGTCCAGTAGTTACGACAGAACGATAAGATGCACCTGCGTTTGCTAATAAATCAAACATTGCTACGTCGCCATTTGTGATTGAAAAATGAATACTAAATAGAATAGAAATTAGTTTTTGAAGATGAGTTTAAGAAAAAAAAAGAGACTTACGGTCGATTTTCGAATATTTTTTCTATATAATTTACATTAGCGTTTTTTTCAACAAATAATTTTGCCAGTGGTAAATTTCTTGTTCTTACAGCTGTCATTAAAGGTGTTTCCATAATAACATACTCTTTGCCATCTTCATCTAAACAAGTATATGGTGAAGGTTTATCTACAGCAGCTCCATGATCTAATAAAATGGTAGCCATTTCAAGAATGTTTTTTGCTGCATGTGATTGATCATTTTCATAGACTGTTGCAGCTATGAGACCAAGTGGTGTTTGAAAAGTAATGAAATTTGGTTGATCAGGAGACGCTCCTTCTTCAATTAATAAAAGAACAGTTACTGGTGATGCATGTTGGACTGCTAATAAAAGTGCCGTATTTCCTTTATTATCTAATTCTTTGTGAATATAATCACGTTTGACATCCAAAATACGACAAATTTTATTGGTATTATCTGCTAATATAGCACCATGAAATGCCGATAAATTTGTTTTAAATAAGTATGAAAAAAATATTTTCGACATGATAATAACAATATCTAAAATGTCAGTCGAAATAACTATTGACGTAGCTAGTTGAAAAAATGTGTATTACGTTGGACAGGTAAATCGACTATTTGCATTTTTACGTTTATATACATATGTATATATACAAATAAAAAAAAACAAAAGAACGCAGATTATTCGATCAAAACTATTGTAGATAAAGAAAATTAAAGAATCCTACGCCTTTTCTCCATGAAAATACGTATGTATTCATATATAGTGATTAAAATTTACAGCATATTTGTTTATACAACAAGTAACTAAGAGTTAGACGTTTGACAATATTGATAATAGCTTTCAAAAATTAGTATGAATGAATGTGTTTTTTTTTTTTGTTGCGATTGTGTATTAACATTGTTTGAATAATAAATAATGATTTGAGTTTGATATTGTATGATTAGTAAAAAAAAATAAGGTCACAAAGAACAATAATGACATATATAAAAGATAAGCATGGTTGAATGTACATTGAATCGATTGACATAGTTCGATAGTTGAAAAATTCATCAAATCTACTACTTATTTTCAACGTATTAATTTCGAATCAATGTAGTTTATGAATCATCATTTTGAAAAACGGACATTTTATTTTGTAAAACTTACTTTATATATATGCATATATGTATTCATAAAGACATATTCATTGTTTTTTTTTCATGAAGTTTTTTTTTGCAATATTATTTTTCTAGATGTGAATGTAAAGGTGTGCTTATTCATTTATACTAATATTATACGACAGTTATGATTTTGTCTTCACTATTTTCACGCATCAAGTAAATAATTTCTAAAAATTATTACATCAAAACAGACTCACATATTTTTATTTTTCTAAATCGAAAAAAAAAAAGTCTACATTTTCTGAGAAGACAACAAAAGAATTGTGTCATTTTTGTATTTCAAAATGTAAATCGATTCTATCACGTTGTCCGGAAAGTTCGTAGAACTATCCTTTAAACTACATCCACGAGACCTTTCACCCATACCATCGTGTAGAGCGCAAAATTTTACTAAGATTCACTCTCATTTGCACAGATTGTGTCAATTATTTTGCAAGAAAAACACGTATTCAACACCCTATTTAGATGTGTTTCAGATAAGTCAAAACTGAGTAGTCGGAAAGATTTTTATCTGAAACCGGCTGAATAGTGTCAAAATCGCTGAGTAAATAACAGATAGTCATAAAGGACCGTCTCCATCGTTGTGCATATACATCGCACATAGGTGATTTCGATAGTAGTCGCTCGTTTTCAGAGAAACACTCCCTGAATATTCGATTTTGACTTATCTGAAACACATCTAAATAGGGTGTTGAATACGTGTTTTTTTTCTTGCAAAATAATTGACACAATCTGTGCAAATGAGAGTGAATCTTAGTAAAATTTTGCGCTCTACACGATGGTATGGGTGAAAGGTCTCGTGGATGTAGTTTAAAGGATAGTTCTACGAACTTTCCGGACAACGTGATATTAACTTGTAGTATTTTAGTAATAATAAAAAAAACTGTTTTTGGAGTATTTTCATATATCAAACTTATTTGTACTTTAATCTATCTTCATTCTTTAGCCTTTTCATGATAGTCAATGTATTCATGGCACAATTTGATATACCCTTAGGTATTATTTGATCAAAGATAAAGCGAAAACGAGTCAAGGAGTACGAGATTTTTCCTATACAAAATATAGACTTACGAGTGTGCATATACTTAGGCAAAGCCTACAAGGTTATCAGTCATTATTTCACAGAAATTTAATGTCTTGATAAAAGAATACCCTTTTCAGTTGACAGAATAGCATATAAGAGAAAAATCTTTAAAGAATCATAAAAACGCTGATTTTCAATCGATTATTCTTATTATATTTGATTAAAAATAAATTAAAATTGTGCCGAAAATCATTTTCCATCAATTTCATGTAATGAAAAGCGATAAAAATTTTATTCGATTTTGTATGTTTTACATTGATTGTAAACAATTTAGAATATTCGCAGCATTTCTTTTTTACAGGAGTTTCAGGGTAATCTACGGATCATCGGCTTATTTTGGAAGAAAATTTTACATCGAAATTTTAATGCTGAATTTTTCAAGATATACGTAAAATTGGCTTGAAAATGTAGTACAACGATGATCAAATTCGGTTCTTAAGACTCAATAGAATCGAATTTTTCAGGCTTTTGTCAGTTTTACGACGAGGTCATTGTGGATCCCATAGGAGATCAAACGACAAGTATCAGTTCGGATACTTCTCCCGTCAGATTCATGAGTTACGATATCAAAACATGTTTCAATAATGATATTAATTCTTTTAGAATCTTATTTAAAGAACACTAACTGTATTTTAAATTAGTATGCTATACTTTGTTGTCCTACGGCGTAGTTTTTTCATCGTAGGAAAATTTAGCAAAGTTTTCTCTCTCAATGATTATATGAGTTTGTGAAAAAAGTCAAATTTTAACAGACTTTCAGAAGAGATCCATTTTCTATTACTTCCTTCTCCGAAAAATTTTGGGAAGACTGTATTTCTATTTGTATCAGTATTGGATAGATATTTTTCTATAATTTAAGCATGACAGATGATGCTACCCTACGTCATCTGTTATGTGTTTTAAAAGATTCTATTTAAATTATGACATATATGAAATGTTAATGTGTTTTTTTTTGGATTTTAATTAAGAAAAATCTGTCTCAGCTATTGTATCGTTTTTCTTAGAAGAAGGTATTATTTTTTACTTGAAACTATCTCGAGTTCTACATCTCCTGCAGTGACGTCTGAGGTTTTTATTAGAAATATTTTTCACTAGGATCCCTTATTCTTGAGAATTTCAGTCCAAATAGACCATTCTATGTGGAAAGCCTATTGTGAGAGAAGAAGTGCTTAAATAATATGTGAAATTAATTGTTTGACAGTTAATGTAATTCTTAGCTTATATTATTATATCTACATTATTCTTGAAAAAATCCATGCATTAAACATATTATTGTTGGAAACATTCTTATAAATCTTAGATGATTGTATAAATAATAAAATAATAACTCAATATCTGTGGTACAAACGATACGAAATGAATAACAATCATCCATGATCAATGACATATATATGATTTATTAAAGCAATTATATAATTGATACAAGCTGTAATTCAAATGTTAATCAGATAATCATAACTATTGGACATCCTTATTTTCATTACATCGTTTTATTTGTATTCACTTTTGAGATAAAAACTTAATTTTAAACAGATTAGCTTTACTGTGTATGAATAGATATATAATCATCATTAAAGAATAAAAATTTGAAAGAAAAAATAAAATATGCTGATCGATGTGTCTCATTATCAAGGCAATAAAAGCTTATTTTGTTTTCATTGAGTGTAAAGAATATTATAGTAATAACAAGCAACTAAATGAAGTTTTTTCCGAGTATGAGCACGTGTCGAATCTCCCCATGCGATGATATGAAACAAACAAAAATCATCCGATGGGACAAACTGTTTCTACCTGTTTCACAGCGGGCAAGGTGTCCCGATCTGTCTCATTGCAGAGAATTTACCCAACGGCAAATGCATTGTAAAAAAAAGTACTGTTTATTGACAAATTTATCATTTCGATCGATGCTAACAAATATTACATTTTTTCAAATTATATTTCTCAATGAAATTCACTATTTCATTCTTTACTTTCACAATGAAAAATACATATCATTCGCTCTATAAATTCAAAATAGTAACAATAGAGAAAAAACCACCACATATAGAATCTGGAATAGTATTCTTATTCTCTTCTTCCTCTCAGTTCATGTATGGATTGTTCAGTGGTGAAATTCTGACGTACTTTTCGCCATGATATGTCACACATTCTTGTATATCAATATTTTTTTTTTTTTGTAAAAAACGTCCAAAATCATCCAGCAAGATAGTATTAGAGAATTAGTCGTTTTAATAAAAAAGACAGATATCTATACAAAGCTACTGTTTCAGATTATGGAATGAGGTTCATAATTTTCTGTTCGACTTATGAAATTTAATTGAAAATATTTTTGATTACTAAACCATTTAGATATTTTAGATTATTAACTTTTTTCAGCATTCACCTTGCATTATCGTCTCAATAAAGTATAAGCTCTGCTTCAGACTAACAACAATCTCACCCACATTCTGGGTTTGGTTAAGCACAATACTGAGACTTCATACCTTCTCGATTGTAGTAAGTAACATAATACTTAAAATATTCAGAAATTTTTATGCTTATAAATGATTCTCTAATGGAATTTTTTCTGTAAAAAGAATCAAACATTTTCTATTTTACTTGGAAGTACTGATTAGAAAAAAAAGTTGTTGACTGTCTAATATCATTCGTTTTGGCTTTATATAGTCAGATATTTTTATGCATTATTTGCATCCTTCTGTTTCATTCTACGTGATGCAGACCGAACAAAATAGAATGAAAAATAGAAAAAAAATATGTGGAGTGGTGAGATAGAAAGTAAATGACTTTTTTCTGTGTAACGTGTGCATTTTACGTTCCAAAATTGCAAGTTGCAAAGAAAAACCTAATTATCCTCACATAACTACTAAAATTCTTTTGACATGAATAATAATAAGCATGAAAAACTTATACGAACTTCAATATGTATTGGTCGAAATCCTCTATCATCAACCGTTCGACCACAAACTACCAAAGATGGTTTATATTTATTACCAAACGAAATTTTATTTTGTATATTCGATTATCTTCTACCTATCGATATTGTTCGAACATTTCAATATGATTTACAACGATATGGTATGCTTATTCAACAGCATATTGTTATGAATGGTTTCAACTTTGTAAACATAAAATCGAATGATTTTCATTTATTACCAATGTGTTTATCGTTAATCGAAAAGCAACATCTAAGTATATGTGTTAACGATAATTATCTATTAACTGTACTTAAATTTGTATCATCACCCAGTACGCTTATTGTGATTCTTAATACATCTTTTGAACAAAGTTTTATATCAAAGATTCAAAATGAATCTCTCAGGTGTAAGAAATTAATACTTGAATATACACCTAGCTATCATCGTCAAATGAATGATATCGATATTATGCCATTACTATCAGCATCAGTTAATACACTCATTCTACGTAACGTAGTTTTTCTTTTCGAGAAGGCGACAATAAATCATAGTTGCAATTCATTACGTCATATTCGATGCATTTTAAAAAATGAGAATGATCTTCATAAACTCTTAATACGATTTCCTATACTGATATCAATTGATATACGACTTGTATGTGATGAAATACTTGAAGCTTCAACATTATTACCATTACCAAAACATTTTCGAATAGAATATCCATATCAAACAATACTTAATCTAAGCAAATTTCCTCAACGGACCAGATATTACGATCAAACTGTCTATTCTTTTCCATGGTTGGAAACAAATTCTTCTTTAGTACTTCGCTCTTGTAATCCAGAAAACTATTTAAACAGTTTTTCTCACTCATTGTCATATATCCATCGACTTACGATTGAATGTACATCAGAAGCATGGTCATCTGAATTTGTCAATTTTCTTCACCAGACATTCCCAAATGCACGTACATTGTATGCTATGCAGGAAAATCATGGCAGACAACTTGTTATGACAATAATGACGGCAAATGACAGAAAAAAAGGCCGATGTACATTATGTCAACCGTATCATGAAATGTCAGATCACTCGACATCACTTCCAGAAGCAATACGATTTATCAATATTGATCGTGCTTATAATTAAAAAAGATTAACTGTTGATTTTATATTTGAAGAAATACGTAATTTCTCAATAAATGTTCGACAGGATGTTTAAATGTATCAGGATATTTTTATTCGTAAAAGCTGCTGACACAAGATTTAATCAAAACTAATAGTGAGCAGAAAATTCAAGATGTTATTAAGAGACAGTAATATCAGATATCAAATAAAGAAAAACTTTTTTTATATCTTGAATTCAGTGAAGTATTACATCTGATTTCAATAATCATCAGTTCTTTCAAAATCTGATTTGATAGATTCAAATTTATTTGTTAACAAAAATAAAATCTTTTCAAAACAAAAGAAGTTTACTAAAAAACTTATTCTGTGTTTTTTTTTAAAGCGTTTTCTGCTTCACGTGCAATGACAAGACAAAATTTTTGCATTGTCGACACAGCGATATGCCTGACATTAACGAATGTTATGATTGCGTTCTGTTTCTTTCTTTTATATTTTATTTCATATAACCTATTTACATCCTATTTTTTACGTCTATTACCTATCTAGAAACACGTGCTTTATTCTCTTTAATTCTCCTCTCTAATAAAAAAGCATTCATATTGAAATAATTGAGTTGACTTACTATGAACAGAACGACTGAAATGAATATTTATTGAGTGAGTAGTTAGCTTTTATTCAATTTCGAATCTTTTTAAACTTGATGGCCTTTGAAAAACTAGAAAAAATTCTAATACGCAACATTTCCGAATTTATTATTTAATCACAGAGCATTCGTCTAAATATACTATTTTGAATTGCTTAAGAAATCATTTATTTATCTCTTATACATCTAACAAAAATCCTCATATCATTTTATTTAAGAATTATACAATTTCATGGATATGGATACTAAATTAGAAGATCTTCCGAATGAAATTCTTATTAATATATTAGAATATATAGGTTCGCCTGTTGATTTATATAATAGTTTTAACAAAATGAATCGTCGATTTGATATTATTCTTCGATCTATTTGTTTAAGTCTCGATATATTTTTGGAAGATAAGCAATCTTTAACAATTATTCGTTATTTTTCAGCATATTGTAATCGTTTACGTGTGTATAATGTTTGTCCATTGATTTCACTTGAACAATTCTTACATTTACGTTCATTAACTCTGATTGAACCGACTGATGCCCAAATTAATTCAATTCAATCAACAACATTACCAATGCTTGAATATCTTGCTAGTCCAGCTAGTATGGTTAGTATTTCATTTATAGAGATGCTGTTTCGTTAATAAATTCCTTTAAAGATGATTTTTGATTGTCTATTTGGTAATAATCAACAACAATGGTCATTTCTTCGTTCATGTAATTTTTATTTTTCTCATTTTCCAAAAACAAAATTAAGTTGGCAATCCAATCGTGTACTTTGTACTCTTTCGGGTATTATTTGTTCTCGAATGACACTAAGTCAACTTCTTTCACTTCTTCCATGTCTTAAACATTTACGAGTTGATATGATTTCTAATGATTCATCAAATTGGAATTTAGAAATATTTCAAAACACACTTTTATCATTACGAATTGGTTTTGATGAATTGAATTATGATGATCTTCGTATATTGATTACTCCACATTTACATCGATTACACATAGAAATATATCATGAAGTAGCTTATATCAATTTTTCCTATTTAGGTACTTTGATTATGTCTTTAACAACCAAGTTAAAACAATTCAATTGTGATTATCGAGCATCGGAAATATCTATGAATGAAATTAAAACTTCTCATACATTATTTCGAAACATACAATCAATCAAATCAAATTCATATGATACTATTAGTTTAATATGTCGAGATATGATATAAAGTCTTTTAATTGAACATTTTGATCGTCAACAATTTTTTTTAATCATAAAATGATTGTTAAGAAATAATACATGTGTTATTTTCAAATAATTATTTCATCAAACTGAATTGTCAATAGCTAATTATTATATTTATCCAAGCTAGCAAGCGAAGAACTTAGACGTCTCCAGATTTTATAGATTTTTGAATATTATTTACCCAAAGTGAATGACTTCAGCTTCCGATACCATAAAGTCCTATAGCATATTGCAGATATTTCGTTAACTTCCAACAATCCTCGATAGGGTTTTCATAGGACATTATTAAATGTTGCACTCCATATGTGACTATCCTCAAAGAGATGAGAGGTCTTACAGAACCATTTTCATTTATGATTAAAACAGCAACTAAAGTAAATAGCACAATTAGTGAAAACCGACACACAAGTGACCAATTATAGCGATGTTCACGCTTATATTTGTATCATAGGATAAAAACCATTACATCATTCAGTCACATTATTGAATAAATTATTCATATTTATCGCTATCGATAGACAAGTAAATTAATAAATACAACATATTTTTATCACATTCTAATCACTTAATATTAGCTTTTTCATTTAAAACAAATCTAAATAGAAACATTTTTATCATATTTGTCTTACTGATCAATACATTTTTCAGTAAATTTTATGTGAATGACTTCAAAAAAATAATCTATTTATTGATTACCTTTCATAAAAAAGAAGGAGTGGAGAAAATAAAATCAAAGATAACTTGATAATAACAGAAAGCAAAAGTTTATAATCAATAAAATGAAAGAAGCATGTTGACAAAGTTAGTTTAATCGAACTGTAATGAGTGTCTACGATTATTCGAAATCCATATGTATTCGTGTCGTTCTAGAGATTTAAAATGATATCAATAGATGTGACGTTAGCCTGATCTAATGTTGACTTACTCGGATAGAATCGACCTTTTTACAAGTAATTTAATTTTAATTGCAATATCATGATAGAAGAGGTTTCATTGGAAACATTTTTTTTAAAATTCTTCGAAAAACTAGAACAGACAAGATATGAAAGATTAGACATCATTGTGTATGGTCAGATCCGATAAGATTCTATTACCAGATATCATCGAATGGCATTGAGTTTTTTCGACCTCGGAAAGTTTTCTGTTCCATTCCCTTAGCATTTACCGATTTCCCATCGATGTATTAAAACCTTTGTTATATTCTTTTTCAACTTTGTTCTTTGCACAAATGTGTCATTTAGCAGATTAGCAGCAAGCACTCATGTAAATTTTTGGCGATTTGAGTTTCAATTTTAGTCATTGGCGATATTTGTCCTTGAAATCAACGGTGTAAGATAACATAATTGCCAAGTCATTAATATCACTATATTTGTTTATGAAATTATCACAAAAAAATATATCACAACGAAACAAACTTGACTCAAGAAAAACACCAGGTGGGTAAATTTACAAGTGATAGAATATGTATAAAAAGCAAAACAACTATCACTGTAGTCACTTCAATCAAATCAGCAATATAAAATATGAATATTTTTACGTTTCTTTCATTATTCATTTATGTAGCTGTTGCTACATCATTTACTCTGCCTGAATTACATGTTATCAAGAAAGTATCGTTTAAATATCCATATAGCTGTCAACCAGGTCCATTAAGTTATGAAGGTTCTGCTCTTTTTCTGACTGATTATGGTTTATTACGAAATATGCCCGATCTTTTGTATAATGGAGCTTGTGGTTCTGACAATACCTTTGATGTGATGTTAGCTGGTGACGATTTTGGTGTGTTAACCGATTTAGGTGATGTACCATTGGAACAAGTCACAGCATCAAAAGCTTTCAATTATGAACGTATAAGTGGTAAAGACAACACATTCGCTAGCACTGTCAAGGTGGTTAATAGACATACTTATGCTGCACTCTTGGCTAAATCCGAAATTCGAGCATTGTTCGTTTTTCGTGTTGAAAATTATGAACCAAGTGGTCCAGCTACGATTTCATATGCTGTTAAACAATATGGTATTGTTCAATCCATACAAGAAGCACCTGGTTTTTCTTGGGATGAAGAAAACCATTGAATAGAATTGACAACATTTTGTCTGCCGTCGGAAACGAATTTCTTATTACTAATATGCATATTTGAAATTAAGAAATAAACTATAAAATCATAGTTAAAAGTTAGAGTTCATTTACAAGGAATGATTATATTCTTTAAAAGAATTACTTCAGAAATACATATAAAAGTTCGATCTAGTATTACAAAATAAAGAATTAATTGTAAAACATTTCGATGCATGTCCTTATGAATGTTTTTTATTAATAGAAATCGATATTCAACGTTTTCTCACATACTTTGAAATCATGAAAACCAAATGTTTTAAAAGATTTTTATATGTACAAAATATTATATTAAATTTTGGTTTTGAAAAATAACAAACATAATGTAACTCATTCATTCATTCAAATAACATAATATCGACTAGTCATATTATCCAACTAAACAACATTTCAATACAGATTAATTTTGATTTCCCATCAGTCTTTTCTCTGTGGGATAATTGGTAATCTACCGAATGACTGAATACTAATTCAATCAATACTTCATCAAATAGAATCTATCGCTTATTTTCTTGCCATTAGTTTATTCAATTTAATTATTATCGCATACGATTTATAGTTATGTATTCTTCATGATTGAAGTTCGATGACCAAATTTAGCAACTTTTATAAAATATCGACAGTCTGAAATCTGAGCAAAATTTCTCTGTGACTTTTTAATGATGGTTTGATAGATCTTGTTGAGTTACCTGTAAAAATGTTCTTTCTGAAACATTTGAACAAAGTTATTGTAGTGAAATTTAAGAAGATTAGGTTAAAAATATCAGAAATCTATAAGACGGTGTCACATGCCAAAAGCATCAAGCCTTGATATTATCAATATTTATTCAATATTTTCTTTTAATTTTCGTCGTCATATTGTTAGAAAAAAATAATAAAGGATACTGTGTAAAAAGTATCGTTTCATAATCGAGTAAATCGTTCTTTTCGACATGATAGTAGAGTACCATTATTATCGATTCATATTCAAAGATTTTGACTATCAGAACTTCAGTTACAAATGAAATGAACATCATATTCTAAATCAGCAGAAAAATTTGTATCGAAAACCAAGCTGAATACTTAAATAGATTTTTTCTTCAATTTTCTGTCATTACATTCTCTCACGATTCCTTTTTTTCGAATAATCTGAGCTGTCGTTCTTCTAAGGTCAAAAGTAGACGATAATTTGTTCTAAGTATTCAGTTTAGCTTTCGCTGTTCTTTTCATTTGTAACCAAAGTTCTGATGGTCAAAATCTTTGAATAGGAATTCGTATGGGTTAAGCTTTATTTTTATATCAAAAAACCGATATTTTTTAATAATGAAATAATATTTTCCACAAAGTCTCCTTAAATTTCTACTGATGATATGATGTTTACATACACAAACAGTACTACACTGACATGAGGCACACTCCTAGGCATCTGACAACGAATAGAAAGGAAAAAAAAACCCTAAAAGTTTATATTAGTGGCGATTCGAAAAAAAATGATTGATAACAGAGTAGTCAACACCATGGTTGGATTGATATATTTCAGAAAAGTCTTCCATGGCAGACAGCCCCTTTTAAAGGGATAAATTGACATAAAAAATTGACAAGTAAATAAAATAAGTAAAAGTCTGATATGACAGTCAGTACGAAATAGGATTGGGAACCAACGTTTATGTTTGTAATTTGTCGTATGCTTGCCTAGTCGTCTAGTTGACAGACCGTTTATTCAAGTTGTCATCAATTCAAACCATGACAGAGATTAACGGGAACGTCTTGATCAGCAACTCTGAGGTTCTAATAATAGGAGTACTATGGAAGCAAATTAGTGACAAGTTGTGATGTTGAATATCGATTGGTATATGGGATGCAGATACAACCACGGAATTGATTAGATGAATCACTCTGCAGTAGAAAAAGAACATTTTTAAGGCATTCTTCTCGCGGATAAATTGACTAGTTATATACTGCGAGCAGTTTAACGATAGGAATGTGTCAGATCCCCGGTTAGTTGAGAAAACACTGTTCTACCGTTAAAACGATGTTTAATGTCACATCGTTTAAACGATGATATATTGACCAAATTACGTGTTTATCACAAAAAACGATTTTGTATGTCATAAAGTAATATTATGTTCTTGTCGTTTAAACTTCGAATTGTAAATGTCATAAATAGTGATTCGTTGACGTTAAAACGATAATTTTTTATTATTTCATCTGTCGTAAATGATTCTTTACTTGAAAAAAGGTTTAGTATTCAAGAATCATCTTCGTCTTACTTGTAACTTGACCATTCATCTAATTTTATTAATTTGATGATGGACAATACACGTTCGTTCTTTTTCTCAATATCTCAATACATTTCAAAGAGTAGGTCTTAATTTGTTTTCGAAAAAGCATAAGTTAAATCTTTAACGAGTTAAAATATTTATTTAAAGAAATGAAAGTTCGGCATCTATATAACATAAGACATGAGTAGAAGTCTATTCTACAAACTTTTCTTTTTGTTTTGATATTTGTTCAAAAGACTTCTACTCATGCCTTATGTTTTAAAGGTCCATGAACTTTCATTTCTTTAAATAAATATTTTGACTTTTTAGAAATTTAACTTTTCTGTTTTCTTGAGAATAAAATGAGATCTTTTCATTAGAATATGTTGAGATATTACAAAAACCTGAGTGCACTCTTTCTTCTGACACAGCAATCGTTTTTTAAATTTTTTTTTTCTATACTTTCCGTAGATAATTAAAATTTTGTCGATCGCTCAAGCATGATGCGCTTGTCTTACATCTGATAAATATTCTATCGAAATCTTCTCAAGTTTTCGTTACTAATTCTCAAGTCTAGTTTATTCTAATACCTATGGAGAAATATATAATTAGTTACAAAGTTGTGATTTATGATAATCTCGATGAATAATGAAAGAAGAATCTAAATTAGTTTATTAGTATCAGATATGTATGTGATAATGAAACTTAGATTTTTAAGAATTAATGAATTGATATGACAAACGAAAAATTCTAGGGGATAAATACCATAGATAAAACGATGTCAATTTTTTGGTATATTTTATCAAAAGAAAATATTGAAGAGCAACACTATTGACGTACTTCTAAAATTTATTCATTGTTATGACTATTTTGTTTTCTCATTCTTTAACAGTCGTCTGTCGTAGATAAAAAATAATTTATTGCTACAAAAGTTAATAGAGCAGCTAAGTTTTTTATTTGATTACTGTAATCTGTATGACTTACGCATATTTATTATCTTGTTGTTCGTTTAAGATTTATACTGAAAACGGAATATATACTCAGCATTATATTCTATTTTAAGGTATAAGAGTTAAAAAATTAAAGTTTCTTCGCGTAAGAGTTTCAATCGACGACGAACTCAGTAAAATAACAAGCTCTAAAATGAAATCATTAATGAAACTAAGCGCTATTTAACATTTTTTTCAACTGATTTATTAAGATCAATCAGTGTGACGTTTCGTTCTAACTAAGAACATTATCAAACACAAATAAATAGACAGAAGAAGAATACAGTATATATAAGAGTAAAATAATGTCTTCGTTTTTCTATTCTATTGTTTTAAACATTCTAATGCAGACGGATCAATTTTACTCTCCCGTGCATTGAAATGCTTAAAACAATAGAATAAAAACGATGACATTATTTTACTCTTAAATATATTCTTCTTCTGTCTATTTATTTGTGTTTGATAATGTTCCTAGTTAGAACAAAACGTCACACTGATTGATCTTAATAAATCAGTTTAAAAAATGTTAAATAGCTTAGTTTCACTAATGATTTTATTATGGAATGTGGTGCTACCAAATGACAAATAAGTTCTATATTATATATTTTTTCTACGAATATCGTATTTTGTCAACTATCTCGATGGAATGTACAAGAAAGTTTTCCACAAATACTATCCTAAGAAAAAGCAAAAATAAACGCAGAATGTAAGGTGAAACTAAATCCTCTACATCATTCAATTCTGAAGACTTCTTCTATTAGAGTTATCTGAATCTTTTTGCTCATGTTTTCTAAGCTCGACCAACGGTCAATGAGAATCCTTATTCACAATTCGTATAGAGTAAATGTGTGAATTTCTTCGTAATCTGAATAGTATTTTAGATTAAATTCAGATATCATTCATGTATCTTATCTTTGTGTGCATTCACATCGCTCGCAGAAGCGATGTTTACTTATTGAGCAATCTTCATCGAATGAATGAATGAATGTGCTGAACGAATTTATTTTCTCTTTTGTTCTTCTCTGACTTTTTTCTTGTACTTCTTGACTTAAATGTTTCTTTTCTTCCCTTTGCTTTCCTATCTCTCCAATTTGATTAAGACTAACAATCAATTACTAAGCATATGAGATCCGTTCTTTTTATGCCATATACATTTGTCGCATATATATTAACTGAAAATATTACTCTCTTTTGACTTGGCTAGAGTTTCTAATTGGATTATGTAGCTCATAATTAATAATGTTGTATTACTTGTCATAAAACGAGTTTCAATTAGCTCATATACTGATGAGTTGATAATTTGGAATGAAAACTCTAATGCAGCAATTTTATGTTTGAGAATATTAGGAACTTATAATTTATCGTACGTTTCGAGCTTTGAATATAATCAAAAAATTAGGATTTCAATGTGAAAATTGAGACTTTAAATCAATAAAATCAACCTGTATTTTCTCGATATTTTAATGTTCGCACCAACACATGATTTTGATTCATATGATGTCAATGTTATGCGGATTCTTACTTTAATCAAAGGAACTCTTTTTCGCATAATTAAATCTACAGCGAATACTTTTTTTGAAGTAATTCAACAGATCAAAAGATAAATGGAAGCTCCAAACGGACTAAATGTCTTTCACACGTACTATGAAACAATAAAAAATACAAATTCATGAGAATATAAATAATTATGGGAACCAGTCCCAAAAAAAGATTAATCTACTTTAAGCATTTACAGCTGTTTTCGTTGGAAAAGATGATCATAAACATTTCTCACTATCTTTTACGAAGAAGAAAATGACTTATATAACCGTTTCAGAGACTATTTAATGTGAATAACGCTTGGAAACGCTGGCTAGACGTAAAAACGGCAAGAAAAGTGATGATCACGTTTTTTTCTTGCCGTTTATCACCGTTTCCTAACAGAACGGGTGATTATGACAGTTTAAACGGCATTTTCAGCGTTTCACTTCTTCCTGGGCGAGGCCATCGCCACTCACATATTCCACTGAGGATGGTAGTTGGTAGAACAACGCTGCACCAGTCAATTGTGATATCAGAGTGAAGTTTGACATCTTATTGTTTGAGTTCTCGTTGTAGAGAACAAATGGTAATGCAAGAAAGATGTTTTGCTCAGCATTGAAATGATCGATTTTGAACAGGAAGCTACGAAGATTCGTTAATCAAGATGGCTAGATGTAACAATTTTTTAATAGAAGTACTAGTGCAGATGGAATTAAACTTTATTAAGTTTTCTCACACCATCATTCATACCATTTATATACGCAACGAGGAAAGAGAAAGAGAAAAAAGTAGGTGTAATAAGAAGGATAAAAATAGGAGACGAGAGACATGTCGATATTGTCACACAAGGTTACTATTTTAACATCGAATAATGTAGAATTCGGTTCTCGATTAAACTATGCTACAGATGAATCGAAGTTTGAAATTTTTTTGGCAAAATTAACTAGAAATATGAACATATTTCAAAATCGATGTAAAATTTAGTTTTTTCTTTTTTTTTTTCATTTTTGTTTTCTAACTTTTCAATTGGTGTCACGCTTTTTTTCTGTTTTAAATATCACAATAGGCGAATATATATAGAATATATCTATGCTTAGATTGATTTGTAACGGAAGAAAAATCTTTTTCTTAAAGTGACATAGATAGTTTTATAGAGCTTGAAAGCTTATGTCATTTGACATATAATTGAATATATTTTATGAATCATAAGTGAGATAAAAAGATACATTTGCATATATTCCTGTTAATAATGGCCAATCCTTTACATTCTTCATATTCTCATAGGAATGAATAGTAATCTATAAACGATAAAAATACAATCAAATATTGGCATCTATTTAGGTTAGACTATATTCTTTCATGAATTATTCTTTAGTATAGGTATCAAAGAAAAGCGTAATTTTTTAAATTAAGATATGATTAACTAATTGAAAGTGTAAATATATTTCAGCTTGAAGCTATTGGTATTAATTATGTAGACGAAAAGGCAAAGATAAGAACATCAACAACGACAATAATAATAAGAATAATAAGAATAGAATAGAAACTACCATACATCAAGCAAAAGAACACCCAGCAGTGTTTCTATAATCGTGCTGAAACGCAGACTTGCATCTAAACAAGTTGCTCTATCATGTCTACTTTATAGTATTAATAATCAATTGTTTTTTTTCTTTTTTGTTCTAAGTGCGTACAAAAAAAAGACACGAGCTTTTATTGATACATTTTAGTTAGTAGAATGCAGCTGTTAAAAATACTCACACATCAATAATTTTTCTTGATACAGTCGTATTATTTGTTTCCATTTCATCGACAAATATGTGAGTTAAAATTTTTGCCTACAAATTATTTTTATCTAATTCATATAAGATTTTGATATATTTATGATTCTACTATAAAATAATAGAAAACTATTGATTACAAATGTTAGAATTAAATGAATATATCCATACTATATTTTGTTGTTTTCATTTATGTCGATAAGATTTACAAAAGAAAAAGAAACCTCTTCTCATTTATTAATGTATTAAATAGATATGAGTACTTTGTGCATTTTCTTGTTGATGTATTTCATGATAAAATTGTAAAAGTAGAACAAATAGGAATTTCTAATGGTTTATGGCCTGAGGTATTAACGACTAGTATACAATTATTTTTTATGTTTGCTATCATTGACCTGAGAGAATTTATTGGTCTCTCTTAATAAATATTTCAATGATAGACCAGAGAAAATAGGCATTTATAATAATCAGAACCATATATATATTTTTTCTTTTATTTAAAATATTGCCGGATGTAGTTTTTTCGTTAATGTTGTGTGCACAATATCTGTCTATTTCAGTGTTATTTATTTGATTTATTTCATCTCTAAAGATCATTCTTTCTAGTGGAATAAATCTCATAGTTGATTTTTCATTTTCACTGACAAGATATTTAGATTTTCATTTTTTTCTCTGCATTTTTTTTATTCTCTCGGATAGAAAGTATATCGACTAGAATATATTATTGCCATTTAGTATTTTATTCTAAGTTCCTGCTAAGTACTTTAAGTATGACTTGAGTTTCGATCACTTAAGCAGACGGACATGTCGATTTCTGTACCAATTTTTGTACAAAAATTAATTTGAAAGCAAAACTTTCAAGTTTATGAGATTATGTTGCTCATCATTTTTATTTTTTTCACATATTTAAAAAACTGAACGAAAACTTGAACTTTTGTGACAGGTATAATGGAAATTAATATAAACAAAAAACCTTAGTAGTTTTTTTTTTTTGGTTAGAAACTCGTAAAAAACCAGCATATCTGTCTGTGTGAGCGATAAAAGTTATTATTATAAACCTAGACGACCTATTTAGTGAAAAAAGCGGAAGTAATTAAAATGTATTGACATGTCGATTTTTACGCTAATGGATGAATAATAGTACGATTCAATTTACTATTTTCAGCTACATTCGATTAAAATCGATTTACAACATGCGACATTTTTCTTTGATTGACATGAACATTTAATGATTGTCTATTTAATCCAGTTAACATTGACATCATAGACAAAAAGACGAAAATCCAAGACGATGAAAATAACCATGTTATATTTTTGCTTTATATATTTACTTAATGTTTTCGTTTTCTTTTTTTCATATGTTGATATTAATATATACGAATAGAATAGAGTATTCATTTTTGTCTTGGAATTTCGGCTTATCAGTAAAAATTAAGCGTAAAATAAGAACATATTGTTCACTAAGGATAAATGTTCTTTACGCACATATATTTACAGAAAAGTAAATACAGTTATAAGTTGAATAATATTTTCTAAATAAATGTGTCATAAAAAAAGAAAGTGATTTGCCATGAACTATAAATAAATATCGAGGAGCGTGTCTCCACATTTCCCTCTTTTCTGAAGCCTATGAATTAATGCTTCTTGATCACACAAACGATAAATACATTCTATGTTTTGCTCAACATTTTGACAGAAATAAGACATAAAATAAAATCTGGTTATTATTATTGATACATTTACTTGTTTTTTATAATAATCAATAGATTACCTATGGCAAATTCATCATTATTTTTGAATAATACTTCTTTTCATAATTGGTGTATACGATGGACTGAACCAGTGTATTTATATGGACATGTAATTCCAGCTATTGCTTTATTTATTTTTGGTTTTACCTTTAATCCAATAGCAATTTATTATTTTGCAACATCGCGTAATTTTCGTCAAACAGCATATTCATATTATTTTTCAGCCATTGCTACTGTTGATTTTGTTCGTTTAATAATATGGTGTCTTTTTTTATTACTTGATTATAAAATATTTAAATTACATTTTCATTCATCTGAATGTTCAGCACAAATTTTTTCGGAATCAGTTACAAGTTCAATTAGTGCTTGGTTAACAGTTTCATTAGCTGTTGAACGGTGTGTAGCTGTATCTAAACCACTTCAAACATACACTGATAGAAAAGGCAAACGTGCTCTTATTATTATACCTAGTGTTATTTTGGCATCATGTGCAATTAATTCACTTTTTCTACGGTCAGGATTCTATGAAAAAAGGTCAGAATTAATAACATTATTTTGTGATCTTTTCTTTTAGAGAAATAGAAATAATACTTTCCATGTTTTTATAATTCTTCAAAAGAAATATTTATTTTACTAATACTATTAACACTTGTTCGAAGAAATTACTTCAAAATTTAATACAGAAAAAAAAATATATATATATCGAAATAATGATTAAAAAAAACCTATCTTAAAACATTGTATTCTTTTTGTTATATTAAAAGTTCTTGCTTTATATCATTTTCAGACAAAAAAATTGTTAATTTATGTTTTTATAAGTTGTATAATATTTAAACAAAAGAAGTTATTTAGAGCATATATCACAAATAGTAATTTCGGTAGATAAAAATACCATAGGAGAGAATTGATTAGGTATTTGCTCCAACAAGTATTCAGCTAGTAGTCATGCTGAGTTACGCACAATCAATTTTTTGAAAGTATTTGTTGAAGCTATATTTCAAATAATCTTGGATTAAGATCGGATCGGACTAGAGTCTTAGTATTAGTATTTAACAAATGATAATACTTTTCTATTAATGTTAAAAGAATAATTAATACTTTAATATTACTATTGAATCAAAACTAGCATCATTTAATACATTTTGTCATGATCATTAGAATTAAATAATAATATTTTAATATTAATACAATAGGATTAAGTTATTTTCTTAAATCTAATATAAAAATATTGCATCACTCATAAGTCACAAGAACGAGAGGGAAAATTTACTAAATACCTCAATAAAATGTCAAATTTTTTCAGTAGTCTCGCTAACAATTCTTAGTTTCGATTCATTCTTGTCAACTACATCATTAATCAACAAGTCTATTTTACTTATCCTACTCGCATAGAATGATCAAGAAACAGACAATACCCTTTGTGAAAAAAGATAGACAATCGTGAGTAAGAAGAGTGTTCTAAGAGCAATACAATCAACATACGCTACAACCTTGATACAGTGTCTAATACCATTCGGTTTTTTTTGGAAAGAATAAGATCGGTCAGTGGTAATATTCAACTTTCTAAATAATTAAGCAAATGAAGAAAAAGAAAATTAATCTTTGTTTGTCAAGTCTTATTTCAAACAGTTACTGATATTGATGTTTGAATAGTATAGATGGAACCTATACACATTGAAATATTCCACTAGTATAGCTATTAGGCTGAAGATAATTTGCATGAATATAGTTTTCTGCAAAGAAGCAGTTTATAGAATAACAACAAGTGAATACAAACATTCAGTGTTTTCTTGTGTTTGTTTCGAAAAGTTCTTTTAGAAGAGGACTTTTAATCATTGTACAATGAAATTTTACTGAATATGTTTTCAAAGTTTTTCCAACTCGTAACTGGCACGTCGCTATGATGACGCAAATTAAAATATTACCTCTAATGAGCTTAGATATGATTATGGACGTATGTAAATACTTAAAAAATTCAATAAGTTTCAGATACTAGTTGTAAAAAATTGAGTTTCAGAGTGATTTTTTAACATATTGATGGCTTTACTTTATCTGTAGATTAAGTTGGGTACAAAATAATCATTATACATTCTGATGCAAGAAAATAGATACATTTTTATAAATATATAGTTAGACATCGTCACGACGAATTTCGATGTACTGAACACTAGCCAACGAGTTTTGTCTTCTCATTCTGTTAATAAGTAGATTTAAAGAATTTTTGATATAATATTGATGATTTGAAGCCTTCCTTTTTGCATGTCTATCGAGTTTTTGGAAAAAATATTCGACTAGATTTTTTTTCACAGAAAAAAACATGAAACATTGTTTTGAGGCTAAATTTTTACGTCAAACTGAAGTTGATGGAGATGATTTGATTGCAGCTCTTTTAGTTTAAAGAATCTGAACCAATTTATGTTTGACGTATCCAGATTTTGTCGCCTATTAGCACTTCATGCACTCGCTGTATTTCTTTGCTCAGCTATGTCATACAAAATTTGATTGATCGAGATAGTTGTTAATTGCTATAATGAATTTTTTCAATCAAAGATTATTTGAAAAACACTTTTAATAAATGTCTTCAAACAAATCGATAATGCGTTACTAAGTTTGACTACTAACTTAAATACTTGCTGAAACAAACCTTGACTAACTCTTTCTTCTAGGCTTTTATCTGCTCAAACTACTACTTTTGGTATGGTCTAAATATCATATTTAATCATATTAAAATTAAAAGACTTTATACTTATCTTTTATCATATATGTAGTAATCCCTTATGATGTTTTCAATACGATGAGTTTACATTTTTTTCTAACCTCTCATCTGAAGACTATATGAAACTTTGTCATTTTTATTCGATCTGTTCCTTAAAACTAAATATACAAGTCAAAAATTTATTTTGTTGTTTTTTTTTTCTTTAGAGTGTATGTAAAAGAAACTCGTACAATAATATGTTATTATTATACATCATCAATGAGCAATCTAACTAAAAATGATAATATATTGATATTAACACCAAATATCAAACGAATGTATTTATTATTTATAGTTATAATTCGTGTTGTTATTCCATTCATGTTACTTCTTACAGCAAATATCATACTTCTTGCAAGTGTACGTAAAAATGAAAAACAATTAACAAGATGGACAAGAAGAGAAACAGTTCGTCATGGTCGTTTTCCACAAATAACACCAATGATATTATTTTCATCATGTATTCTTTTATTAACAATATCACCTCGGTAAAAAAAAGAGTATTTTTATTCGTTTTTACTTATATATTTTATAGATATCTACTTCAATTTTATGTAAATTTTTTTCAAGTACCTTTCAATTGTTCATTAATACATTTTGCTCCACATTTATTAAAAACACTTGAATTATTTAATTATTCATTCAATGTATTTGTATCTGTTATTAGTGGTCCACAAGCTCGACGTGAATTACTTAGTATGTTATCATGTCGATCAAAAACTTTAAAATCACCATGGAAGAGATCATTAACACATAATTCATACACTATATCTAATAGCCGGCATCAACACCGATCAAGACATATTACTCATGATCAAATCAATCTAACTAATGTATCACTTCTTCCTAATAATATTCATTTTGATTAACGTTAGTAATAGTCAGATGTTTCTTCATTACATTCAAAATATATGACTATAAAATCACTGTTAGAGTTTCTTTTTTTTTTTGAATCATTTTGTCTTCAATATATGCCAAGATGAGCGAGATAGACTCCATAAAAACAATAAATACTATGGTTCATTTGGACAGTAGAAGAGAAATTATCTTAATTTTTCTACTAACAAAAAAAAACTTCTATTTGACTAAAGTTATATTTTTCTTTCAATAGAAACTTTACAAAATCATGTTATATTTGATTTTACATACTTTATGTGATGTTAGGAACTGTCAGTGATGACATATATCATTTTATAAACGAGAAAAACTCGCTAAGTAATGATTAAATGAATTTAATAAATATTAGTAAATGTACTAAAATATTCAATTAAAATATAATTTAATTGTAAGAATCCATTTTTGTAAATCTATTTATCCGATTTATATTGTGATAGATTTACATATGTCTTTTGTGACATCGTATAAGAGAATACTTATACAAAATAAATATTGTCGTGTTCGAGATGTTGAGTTCTCCTTTGTTTAATATGTGAAAATTTCGTTGAATATTCAACGTTTCAACTGAACAACTTTGAATGAGTTACCTAACATCTTTAGAAAAAAAAAATGACAACAAACTTTCACAGTGTTTCAATATTTCACGTTATTAGATGTCATAATAAAGCTGTTACGGCAATAATCTCTGCAGCATTAGAATTCTAAACACTATATAGTTTCGATTGCTAATCACAGGAAGACTGCTTTATTCTAACTATTTATGGGTACATTTATTTACCATCATTTTATTTAATTCTTCCGAAATTCAATAAGGAAGTAATTCAATTATTAGAACGAGAAGTTATTTATAAGTTATATGGTGTTTGATCGTATATTAACAACGTCTGTCATGGTCTTGAAAAGATCCTAATGTTTACCCCTATACGTCAACATCTATTAGATCATGTTTAATAAAACAATGAGAATTTCAAAGACAAACCTTAACAATACGCACTATTATCAACTGATAGACAGGCTTCCACAATGCTTCAACAAAATTTGTCAGACTTAATTACTGAACTTATTATTTGACGAGAGTGTACAAGAGAGATTTGTATGGTAATTAAAAAGTTATCTCACTAAATCAAACAACGTAATTGAATAGTCTACTTTTTGTAGAAATTTTTCAAGCACCAATGTTACACAATTATGATCATAGATATACGTGTAGTAAAGATTGAAAGTCGTTTTTATCACGACGAACACTATTCTCATAATTATAAAACTACATTACATCAACAATTTTTTTGTTGATGTCTATCTAGCGCATAAAGTTTTCACTATAAGAAACCAATAGAAAAAACTTGGATATTCAGTTTAGTTAGGCACTGAAACAATCACAAAACCAAAACTCATTCATTTAGATTCAAATATCATTCATATTTTTGTTTTCTTTCTGAAGACGTACGAATACGGCATAACAGGACTGTTTAGGAAGCTATACACGCTTCGTATTCTTCATTCTGGATATACATTACAATTATAACCATTTCATTTTGCAAGTGTTCGAACCAAATAAATAATTCACATATTTTCTATTTAAGAGAACCAAAAACTAATAACAATCACAATAGTCATTAGATTTTTTGTATTCCTATAGGAAATGGGAGTATTGTCAGAGGGTGGAGCGACTAGAAACTCTTGCAATATCCATTTATCAAAAATTTTAGCCTTTTCACACAACTGTCAGGACCATTTGGTGAGAAACCAGGATTTACAAGTCTCTGCCACGCAATATATTCCAATTGAAGCTAAACTTGAGAGGCATGAGTTTATTCTAGCCAAAATTTTAAGTAAATATCAGGATTTATGATAAAATCTTGACAAAACAGAAAGACTTCGAAGATATTAGTCTTTTTCAAGGCAATTTATGGTTTAAATATGCGTGTAAATGGGTAGCAGATGAATGAAACCAAGTTTTAAATTCCTATAAAGATGTTTAATTGAAACATTGAAATAAATAATCTTACAACTTAATTAATTGAATCTACGTATAACTAAGATTGCACAGATAGATGCAACAATTATCTTAGTGAAGGTATTGCAATTGGCAACTTCATATCAAATTACATTGTTCGAGAAAAGACATCTGAATATGATTGTAGTAAAAAAAATTATCAATCAATTGAAAAAAACATCGCTAAATATACTTTCAACATTTCCATATCAATAGTTGAGAAAACATGTAGAAAGAAACTGGTGTCATCTGTTATATAAATCCTAGGATTGATCCATTCTTGCAACCATTCATGAAAATAAATATTTTCTCGTCTCTTCTCTTCGTTCCTTCGACGGAACAGCAAACTCTCGTCACTTGTATTTTTAATAAAGATATTACCTTTAATATTATGACGTCAATTTGTTTTATATTTTACCAAATTACGTGATATAATACTAATTATTCATTTTCAACTTTTATTTCAAGAGTTTAACTTATAAACAAATCTATTAATAATTTATCTACTGTTTTTTTCTTTTTAAGAAAACGAATCTTTTCTTTAACTCAGATGCCACTAGAATTCAAACATTTTATAAAATGGTAGACTTTTGATACTAACGAGAAATACGGATTGTGCTTGTTTATACATTTACTTAACAAATATTCTCTCCCAAAAATTTGATTATAGTCTACGGTAAGCTTTCAAATGTAAAGACAAAGAATAATAAAGCAGTTTGACGCAGAGCTTAAGATTTTGTTTGTATCCGTAGTTCAATTATAATATATCAAATAAAAAGAGATATTTTTGGTTTTTGCTCGTCTTGTATTGTAAGAATTCGTAGGTGCTTATAATGAATCATGGAAAAATGTCCAGAATAGAAGAGGACAGCTAACCCTGAAAAAGAAGAGTAGAAACATAATTGAAGAGATTGGGTGTAAACAGGGAAGAAAGAATGAGAAAGAGGATCACAAAATCTTTTTACTATTCAGCACTATAGGATTTAACTCAGATTGATGCATAAGCGTCTTGTGAAGAAAAATATTTCTTTCGAACAGCCCTAAAACTCTACCAGGAAACAATTTTGCCAGTTACTGATAAAATTTTAATCAGATTGAAGTAATGATTGATGCTATGTTGCTAAAATAAAATAACTGTTAAAAACAGGAAATAAACTAAATAAGACGAGTAAATCTAATAATATGAGACATTCATATTTGATTTTAATACGATCATCAAAATAAGTTATGTTCGTATCATACGTTCGTTGAAGAGTTTCGTTCTATTCAGATAATATAACAAAGTCAGTATCACTCGTTTTCTAAAATAGAAATTTTTAATGCGTTTTTTCAAAAAAATCTAGTCTTTGAACATTGTATTCTACTATAATCATTCTACTTTGCCTATATCTATAAAGTGAAACGTTCATAGTTTGATAACACTATATCTCTTGCATAAAATCTTCAAAACCTACTCAAAGTTTTTGTAATAAGTTAATCTAATTAGTTAGTTAATATGAGCAACATTTGAGATTGAATGTTCAAACTGTTTCTAAATATATTTTTTTGCGAATAAATCTTTTTTTCTAAATTATCTTCATCAAATAAGTAAAATTAAAAAAAAGAATTATTCATATTCGTTTTCTATGCTTTACATATATGTATACATCAATTGGAATAACATATGGATACGATACTAATTTAAATTATGTTTACAATTTCTATTAGTTAAACGATAAATTTAATTTTAAAAATAGTACAAGTTTTCTTTTCGTTTTGTCTTTTTTCTTATGTAATAGGAGTTTTAATCATTAATTACCGTATATGATTTGAAAACTAATATATTATGATTAAAGAAAAAAAAACACTGATTTCATTATTTTAGATCATGTCATCATTAGGATCTGAAAGAGTCTTGTCTAAATCTCGCCGTCGTTTTACAACGGATACACTTTTTCGTTTAATAAATCAAGCTAATCAATATGATGATATTCGTTCATCTTCTTTACATGAAAATGAATCACCATCATCTTATACAAATGGATATTTATCTGAATGTGATCTTCGTCATCTATGGTCTCTTTTATCACAAATGATTCGTAAACGTTTACTTAAACATGAACCATGCTTATTACCTGAATTAGGTGCATTTGTTTTAATTGATCATCCATCATCGGATAATATGAATAATCCAATAAAAGAACCATTCTTTGTATTAGATACAACATTTGCTCGTCGTCATCGTTTATCACGTATTAAAAAACCAAATCTATCATCAGCACTCTCACTTTCACTTCAAGCTAATGGAAATTCAACACACATTGAACCAAATACAACATTATCATCATTTAATATGCAAACATTAGATTATACATCATTACAAAATGAATCAGGTTTAACACGTGAACAATTAATGACGGCTATATCACAAATATTTGCTATGATTGATAAAGAAATTAATCCATATGGGTATTGTTTTTTAGAATTTCCTCAATTAGGACATTTTAAAATTTCATTTGGTTTGGGTACATTTGATTTTAGTGAGACGTTTGTTGAAGAATTCAAAGCAACAATTAATAATACAATAAATGACAAATAAAATGAACAGGATTTAGATATATATATTTATATATATATATTATATCCGGTGATTTTGTTAAGTGTTGTGTCAGATTTTTTCTTTTGTGTGTATCTTTTGTTTGTTTGTAGTTATTTGTATTTAATAAAAAAAGTATTTGTATAAATATTTATAATCATTCATCCACAAATACCAATCATGACAATTTGAAAATGTATAATATGGAAGACATTGTCTCTTTTGTTTACTAGAAATCGATGTGATTGATATCTATATTTTAAAATAAGCATGTGTTCAAACAGACAAGAGTTTTTGAAAAAACGTTTAATTACTCTAAACACTGTTTCCATTTGAGTGTTTTCATGTCTATTTACAAAACATCGAAACCTAGCTACTTTCATTATACAAAAGATAATCCA